CTCTCTCTCTCTCTCTCTCTCTCTCTCTCTCTCTCTCTCTCTCTCTCTCTCCCTGTCACTCTTTCTAAAATAAATAAATAAATAATAGAAAAGTACTGCAATATAATTCTTAAAGAGGAGTTTATCAATTTGGTCCAACCAATGAAAAAGGACTTCAGTAACTCTTCTGCTGCCCTTCAAAGTGAAGCCTTTTGGAAGTTTCCTCTCGTTTGGTATAAGTGTTTAAAGACAAAATTTTCAGATGAGTGAGTCACAGACTAACACTGAAGGATCCATATATGTTTGAGAAAAGAATAAGCAAAATTAGGAGCCCAAACAGGAAGCAGGGAAATCTTTTAGGCAGAAAGATCATCATCTCCCAGTGATAATGAGTTGTTTCTCTGTATACTTCCTGCATGAACATCACAGATAGGTCTGTAATGACTGGGATATAGAAGCAGGAACCCAATTCTAAACAACCTATCAAATCATATTAAGGACAGAATTTTAGCCTAAGGGGCACTAAGGAGTATGAGAAAATAATTGATATGATTACATTTTCATTTTAGTAAACCCATAATAGCTTCAATGAAGAATTTAAAAGGAAATTAGAGAAAAAAATGTTAAATAGGGTATTCAAGGAAGATATAAGAACATTCTAAACTAATACAGTGGGAACAAGATTAAGTAGAAGCAGATGATGTTACAAATCAGTTTAGTCTGATTGTTGTCAGAGTCCAGTGCTAAACACTGGGTTTAACCTAAAATATTTACGAATAACAAGTGTTCAAATGACCTACTCATATCTATGATGGTGTGTTTGGCACATAGCATGTGCCATCAAATTTTAGTTTTAATTGCAGGACAGTTGTTTTAAACATAGAGAACAAAAGTGTCTTTAGGTGTGCCTGCTAATTGATCCCCAAATTAATTTAAACACAAAATTCTAGGAGCTGGGTGTACAGTTTAATGGTAATAGAGGAAGACCCTTGTTTCTATCCTCAGCATCAATAAAAAAAAAAATTTCTTCTTACAAACCAACACATAATTTCATGTATTATCTATATGTAATACTGAAATCCCCATGTATCTTGAGTGTCATGATTTTACTGAAATTTTGCATTAGCAAAGTGAATCAGGCACCAGGTAAGTGTATACCGGGGCCTCAAGTTCAGTTCTCCAGAGAAATCAGGATGTGGCTGGGCCAGGAGTTCCCATAACTCTTATGCACACAAACAAATTCTGCTTGCATAGAGGCTCGTGTTTGTGTTCTCATTGTGGCCTTTGGTTCTTAACTGCTCCTAGTCAGGCTCATCATTATAATACCTTTTTAGATTACCTTTCTCATGACCAATTTAGTTTGTTTAAAATAGTTTTCTTTATCCTGTTGTGTATAAATACTTTTATCAATAACATTTTTACCCTTTGTATTTCTTATAACTTCACTGGGAAGCCGATGTATGCTCTAGTATAATTCTCCTTATTGTTATTGCCAATCTATTTTAATAAACTAAGGAGGAAATGTCTGAGTAATGATTTGCCTTAACTGAGGTTAAAAAATAAAAGCCAGGGAAGTCTTGATTCAAGACAGAGGAAGCCTTTGTGAGTGAAAGAATGTGGGTTGTGAGGATATAAGAGTCAGAGGTGTAAGATTGGAAAATCACAGTAGACGTAAAGCATTATTTAGGGTATTATTTTTTATTTTTTTTATTATTATTTTAGGGTATCATTATTTTGTAGCATATTAGTTTTCTATTGACTTCTCTAAATTTCCACAACACTTGGTGTCAACTTGAGGTTTCAGGGGATGCCAGACTGAGGATCTCAGTTTCTTGCTGGCTGTTGGCTAGAGGCTGCCCTGGGATCCTTTCCAAATGTATCTCTCCATTGGGCCACATGACACTGTATAAGATCAGAGGAGGCATCGGAGAGAAAATAGAGAGATAAAGAGACAGAGCTAGAAAGAGGAAAGTCACAATCATTTATAATTGAATCACAGTAGTGATATCCTGTCACTTCAGTTTTCTCTTGAAAAATGGCATTTGATCCAGAAAGAAGAAATAAAATATACCTGACAACTTAGGGAAAATGAAATGGTATCACTAGGCACAAATGAATTAGCTGAGTTATATACAAACCGCAAAGAGCATATTACAAGTTGAAGAGGGTACAGTACCAATTATATCATTATCTCACCCTACTCTCTGAGTGAATAGTCTGAAAGCCTAAAATTACAGTCAATGTTAGATTTCTTGGCTTCATGTGCAAATTGGAGTCATTTTCCTTTTTTTTTTCTTTTCTTTTTTCTTGGTGAATGCATAAACACATGTTATATTGTTTAAGAGTAGCAGTCCTCCTAGTATATTATGATATTTTTCTTCATTTTGTTACCCATGTTAAAGGGTTTACTTTATTTTATTTTTTAATTTGGATTGTTGGAAATCAGTTCAACACTACACTTTTGAATTATTTGCAATGGTCATAGGATCATTTAATCTAAGACTTTTTGGCATGTCCTTTGTAGGGAGACCCGTGCAGGAGAAGGCTCTTCAACTGGCCAGATGTGTCGTTTTCAAACAGATTGAGGGTCTGCCAAAACACCATTTGTTGCCAGTACCGGATATTGTAGGGGGGCCTATCACTCTGTTACCATATTTTTGCACTTCTTAACATTGAATAAATAGGCAGCTGTTCTGTATTTAGAATATAAATTAGTCACCAGCTTGCTCTCCCTGGAGGATATACCTGCAAGAGGGAACCACATTGTTAACCCCTTCTTACCACTTGCACGAATGTCACACTTAATTGCACACTTCTCTCTACCCATTCAGAAGCAAATACTTATGCATACCAATCACACCTTTCTTGCCCATTAGTCAAAATATGCAGTTCACAATGCTAAAATGGAACATATTGCCTTAGCAGCGAAAGCAGTAAATTAATCAGTTGATAAGCTGAGGCTGAACAATTTGTGCTGAATTCTTTCTTAGTGCTCCTTCAATAGGAAGTAAAGTTCTCTAATCTCCTAAAGGGGCATGACTTCATTAAGCTGGAAAACCATTTTAAAGGATACATTGGATGAGAGAGAACAGAAAAGCCCTGAAAGTCACTTGGTTGTCTCTCTGGAGCTATTTTCAGGATGGAGATTTTTATTTATTTGGAGATAGCAATTAATTTACAGACTTGGCACAACAAAGAAACTGAGTGCTGAAGAGGGTCTCATTACAGGACAGGGAAGGTGGCTGGTTTGACCTAATCCCTATTTGCAGCAGATAATTTACATAACAGGCTATAACAAGTTGCCTGATGCTGACTTCAGACACTACACACACACACACACACACACATCTACATACACACACACACACATATATATATATATATATACACATATAAATGTGTATGTATGTGTTTATCTTTTTGTATAAATAATATACAATAAACTCAGTATGTGCTTGTATACATAAATACATCATATAAACCTGTTTTACCCTTACATAATTTAAAACTGAATTAGCCCTGAAATATCAAAGACCAGGAAAAGTGAAGGCAGCTAGGAGAGGTGGAGTTGGTTGGAATATATAGTACATGTGTCCAAAAGTAGTCCCAGCCTGTATTTATCAAATAAACATAGGTTTCTACAATCTGATCGGGCCAAGTCACTGCTGCAGGCTTTTCATCTTGCCAGCAGCAGAAGAGCACAGGCTGATAGATAGGTGACATTTGGACAGCCCGGCGTGCCAGATTTTTGGAGGTTATAACGGAGGTCCAACCTGCTGTTCTCCTTAATGAAAGGAGGGAAATTCAGACTGGCAAAACTGCTACAAGGGATATCTCTGCCCTGAATGTCACGCTGCCCAGATGTCACTCGGCAGGTGGAGATGCAGAGAGAATGAAAATGGAGCCTTGTGTACGTGGGTGCTAGAGCGTTGCAAGGGTGAACAATGGGTCTGCCTTCCAACGTGTAAGGAGAACAGTGTGCACCTTGTCCATATTCATGTCATGAGAAAGGACTTTCTCAAAGAGTCTCACTCCACTTCCCCTCAGAGAACGACACACATGCTCACAAAGCACTTGCACAGGAATTGCTTCACATTTTGGAACATCTTTAGCATTTACTTTAATATAGCTATTATATAGGTGTGTATTTTTTCTTTATAAAATTAGATTCATGCCACATTAGGTTTCTATAATTTGCTTTTTAAATTAAATCTTAAGACTTTATCATAAATATTTCTCATATAATTGTCCTTGGGGTCAGTCATCTCAATTTTTAGCTTGGATTTTAAAGCAAAGATGCATGACCATATAGTAAGCCATTCCTAACTTGAGCATTTAGGTAGACTCTAGAGTATTTTAAGATGGGCATGACTGTATTCTCAGTAAGTATTCAGAATTTTTTTTCTTTTTTCTTTTTTTTTTTTTAACTAGAACAAGTAAGACTTGAAGTTACGTTTTGTGAGTGAAAGCTGAAGTTACTATCATTGACTTTTTTTTACTGTAATTGTTTCTCTGCAGTGTTGCGAGATGACTTCCGGCAAAACCCCACAGATGTTGTAGTGGCAGCTGGAGAGCCTGCAATCCTGGAGTGCCAACCTCCCCGGGGACACCCAGAACCCACCATCTACTGGAAAAAAGACAAAGTTCGAATTGATGACAAGGAAGACAGAATAAGTGTGAGTTAAATTAGAATGACAGCTTAGACAGATGGAAATTCACATCTAAAAATAGATGTATTTTTTAAATTTATTTTTAATAAAATTGTACTCAAATGCTGACTAACATTAATGTCACATCAAAAAGTCTTAAAAGAATTAAATTTAGGGATGAGACTACAAAAAGACACAAATTATAGAAATCAAGTATACATGCTGTATTAATAATCATATCAGTCTGAATATGTAAATTTATATTTGCAGTGTGATATTGATGTCTTAGCTTTTCAATGTCTTCTGTTCATCATTTACGTTTTAACATGAGTGTTAGAGTAAGCAATAGCCATAAACCATATTAAGAATAATATCTCATTTTGTGCTATGTATAAAATTATAAGAGGAAATCATCTGAGGTGATGAATATCTCATTTAATCCAGTTTTTCAAATTCAATATTTGTTTCAGCAAAATTTTTAAAATGAGTTAATTTTAAGGCAAATTTAAAATAAATAAGTTAAGTAAAAATTAAAATGACTGATTTTGCAGTTTACTTCATATAAATTGATTACCAGGTTCAACAGTTGATTAAGATTCAATGCTTTTATGTAAAGATACAGAACAAAGGGAATTAATATATACAAATTTAATAGTTCATATTTTTAGAGGATCCACTCAATATTTGTATGAAAAAATTTATAAGTGACAGCCATTCTAAGGAAACAGAATATAATTCCACTTATGTTATTTAGTAATATTTAGTAGTAATAACACAGTGAAGGCATTTTATTTAAAATAATTTTTCATTTGCCTGAAGAAATGTGACATTTCAATCAGGAGTTTATATAATCTGCAAGGCACAGTGGCATATATCTATAATCCCAGTGACTCAGGAATCCGAGGTAGGTGGATCATAAGTTTGAGGCCAACCTTAGTAGCTTAGTGAGACTCTGTCTTGAAAAGTAAAACAGAACAAACCATAAAGAAGTCTGATTGTGTAGTTTGATGGTGGAGTACCCATGGGTTCAGTCCCCCACAACACAAAGTAAATAAGTAAATGAACCGATATAAATATATTAATAAATGATTGGGCATGGTGGTGCATGCCTGTAATCCTAGCAGCTCAGTAGGCTGAGAAAGAAGGATCTCAAGTTCAAAGCCAGCCTCAGAAACTCAGGGAGGCCCTAAAAAATTTAGTGAAACTGTCTCAAAACAAAAACAAATAAATAGATAGATAGATAGATAGATAGATAGATAAAAGCCTTGGGCATGTGGCTCAGTGGCTAAATGCTCCTGGGTTCAATCCCTAGTACAAAAAAATCAAAATGAATTTATTATCTTTAAATATACTTTTATTCTTGTATGTACACATTGAAATTACATTGCAGCACAGAAGTGATAGGCCATGTAAGAGACAGAAATATAAAGTGGAATATTTCTGATTTTGTTGTTTACATCTTGAGTATCTATGCTGCCAAAGAGACTTTGGTTCTCAATGGTCTGGACTTGGGTACCAAACTTTTGAAAATGTGCTTTTTCTCTGTAAAAAATCTTCCTGAAATTTTTGACTTATAAAATCCATTTTTAGACCATGATTCCATGCAAAAGTTGATATTCCTGATCAAAGACAGTATGATTTATCTCTGCCAGATTTTCTTATCCTTCCTTGGCCTGTTTAAAGGTGAACTGGCAGCTGAATAATCTAGGATGACCTTGCTTAGGTCTGGAAATTAGCTGAATTTCAGCTAGAACCTCACTTCTTATGGTCTCTCATATTTTAGCAGGCTACCTTAGTCTGGTTTCATGGTCTTAGGTTTCCAATTGTAGCAAGAGAAGGCAAATCCCAATGTGCAAGCAACATTTTTTTTCTGATGAAGCATTTGCTTTATTACCATTCGTGAAATAGTCATATTGACAAGCCCTGTTTCAAGGGAAAGAGAAAGGCTTTATAGGCTCCCATTATGACATACTGAATACAATTGAGGACAGAGTGATGGCTTTTCTTCTCATGTAAAAAAAAAAAAGTTGAAAATCTTTATGACATGACAAACTTTGGAGCTTAAACTATTTCTGATGAACAAACCTAAATGAGTTTTGTTTACCAATGAAAAATTTAAAAATAATGGAAAAAATCAGAATGTTTGAATGTTTTATTTCCTTTAAGAACACTCAATCATGTAAAGTTAAGATTGTTGAACTATATTCTTACAAAGAAAGGGAAAATGAGAAACAATAATGCGACAATATACTTACTAAAATTCTAACTTTGAGTTAATGTTCTCTTTAATAGACATTTTATTATTATTGCATTTTAATATTATTTCATATTATTATTGCAACACATGCTTCTCTTTTAAGAAGTATTTAGCAACCACTTATTAGATGTCAATAATTTGTACTAATCCATACACATTATTTTATAAGTTTTAATTATTTTTGCTCAACATACCCTTCTTGTCAAAAATTATTTCCAAAGATGATTAACACTGATATTTGAAATGTAAGGTTCACAAAGAAACAGGTTTTGACTGTTTAGCTTACTGTTATATTCCAAATGCCTAGAATACTCCCCAGTCCTTGTAGTACTCAATGAATACTTTATGCATCCTTTTAAATCAGCTAGGTTTTATTATATTATCTAAAACAGATATCTAATGTTATTTTTTGATGACAAAAGCAATTCATTCAGCCGAACTCAGTGTGAAGAAAGACCCCTGCAGATTTAGTGGGGATGCAAAATATGATGCACAAGATACAAAATATGACCAGGCAAAACAGAGAAAGACTGCTTCAAAGACGCATTCTCTAGGAAGGAAATATAGAAAGTTATAGTAAAGTTGAATTAAGAAGCCCAATGGGCAGAAGCCAAAATGGTGGGAGAGTTTTGTGTAAGAGTTTTGTCTTAGATGCAGTTTTTTCTTTTGAAAGCAAATGTGTTTAAGTATTCCAAATTATTAATGTCCTTTATTTTTCCTTTCCTGTTTCATTTCCTTTCCTTTCTTAAAAGAAAATTTTTTGTTTGACATTAACAGATTCGTGGTGGAAAATTGATGATCTCCAATACCAGAAAAAGTGATGCAGGAATGTACACCTGTGTTGGTACCAATATGGTGGGAGAAAGAGACAGTGATCCAGCAGAGCTGACTGTCTTTGGTAAAACTCTTTTAAATTCCAAATTGCTATTTATACTCTACATTGCCTTGGTTTTAAAATATTTTTGTTAACTCTAAATCCCAAGCCATATATGAAAAATTACTCATCATTTATGATAATCAACAACCAATTAAAATTTTCTTTCTAGTGAAAATTTTGATGTCTAAATTTTTTTGAAATATTTATTCGTCTACTTTATTCATATAGCTTTATGATTTTGTCCTTCACCAAAATGTAAAATTTGCTGTTTCTCAAAATCTATTTGAGATATGACATCCCTCTACATTTTATTTTTTTTTATTTTATTTTTTTTAAAGAGAGAGTGAGAGAGGAGAGAGAGAGAGAGCGAGAGAGCGAATTTTTAATATTTATTTTTTAGTTCTCGGCGGACACAACATCTTTGTTTGTATGTGGTGCTGAGGATCGAACCTGGGCTGCACGCATGCCAGGCGAGCGCGCTACCGCTTGAGCCACATCCCCAGCCCCCTCTACATTTTATTACTCATCTACTTTGTTGCATTTATTAGTGAATATATGTAGCTGTATGTATATGTGTGTGTATATATATATATATATATATATATACACACACACACACTTTTATATATTATATATTTTCATATACATCAGGTATAGTATATGAAAATATATAAAATATATAGGTATGTATACACACATGATTATATGCTTTTATGCACATACATGCATATGGATATATGTATGTCTATGAATGTCCCTTAATAAAATTTTTCACTGCTTACAGCTACCATGTGATTTTTATAAGGCATAAGAGATTGTGATTTTTAAATTAGTTTGTTGTGCCAGTAAAAGAACCTCCTGATTTTATGCACAACATATAATAAGATGTCTATTTGTGGTTGTTACTCTAGGACATGAACAAGTATAGCATCAAAGTCCTATAGGGGTTTCTAGAGAAACTTCTTTTGCAGTATGAATATGTAAGGAGCATCCTGTGGTGGAATGGGATACCATGATGGAAAGAGACCTACTGCAGTTTCTATTACAGTTCAAGAGTTAAGGTTGTGCTTTATGAATATGTACCAGAGTGCAGGCCTCTCTTTTCAATCACTCTGAGTACTGAGTAATCTCTGATAATATTCCCTGTGGATAGTAAGCAGCTTGGAGGCCCAAATGACAAAGGCAGGGGAAATCCCTCATAATTCATTAAAGGAATTGAATAGTAAAAATAAAATTGCTCCAAGTATGCATTGTATGTAAATTTCTGTCACGCAGAGCTCAGACAAGTATCAGTTTGCCCCTAAATTTTATGCAGTCGTCTGTAAGAGTTTCAAATGTGCTTCGCTCTATAATGAATAAAATACAGTTTTGCCTGATAAGATATGAAATTAGTGGTCACTGAACATTAGCACTGAAAACCCACAAGGATAGCTCTTCTATTTAAAGAAACACTCACTGCTATTTTTCTGTAACTACCACGAGCTTTGGAATAGAAAAGCATTGCATTATAGCAGCATTGACTGCCTTTAGAAGGAAATTAAGAGGGTTTAATGTCATTACCCAAGCAATTAGACTTACCAATAATGTGCCTGTATTATGAAATATTTACCCTACCTTCCCTAAAGACATGATGAGAACTGCAAGGGATCCCTAAACATGTCAAGAGTTATGGGGCAACTTCTAAATTATTTTAAAAATAGCTATCAACCCAAAAGATTAAATTTGTCCAGAGGCAGTTCCTCTGGAGGAATTGATTCAGGAACCTGAGAAACGTTTATGTGATGGTGTAAACTAGTCACAAATGACCTGAGGGTTTATAAGTACACTATTAAGTTGAGGCAAAAGCTAAAATTCCATTATTGATAAGAAAACAACATCCAAACTCAGAAGAAAAATCACAATACAGAAGAGACAGTCCAAATCAAGGATGAGGATTGTTCGAGAGGCCCTTTCTGAAACTGACTCCCTCCTTCCAGAGAACATGAAATAAATGGTTTGCTGCTCATGGTGAGGCCTTCTTTATTTCATTCTGGGGCTCTTACTTCCAGGACATGATTTCTAATAAACCTCATTATATTTCATCATTGTTAAATGTATCACTTCTGAACTAATGTCTATACACCTGATTACATTCCACACTCCACCTGCTCAACATTATTTTCAGGTAGTTACGATTCAACTTGAAAGTATTTGGTTACCATAATCCCTCTTTAGTGAGAGAGAGGCTTTTTACTGTCTTTTGAAATTCAATTTTTAAGAAATGTTATACAGATTTTTAGTTGGGCAAGAAGTATAATTCACTTACAAACAGCAAGGAGAACAAATAAAGGGTGTTTTCTTATACAGTGGTCACTTTTTGAGACATATTGCCAAACAAAAACTTCCTCAATCTTTAAGCATTTGGGGTTTTTAGTAAATAAGCTTAGACGTGTTATAGTTAAAAAATTTAGGGGCTGGGGTTGTGGATCAGTGGTAGAGTGCTCGCCTTGCAGGCATGAGGCACTGGGTTCGATCCTCAGCACCACATAAAAGTATCATGAATTGCAAGCTGTAGATTATACTCTTATGATAACATTTATCTTCTTGTACTATATTTGTTCTTTTGAATTAATGATCAACAAGTTTTTCCATAATTATGTTAGTCTACCCTGTCATAAATTCTTGACATCACTATGGAAAAATATCTAAATTTAAATTTTCACACTATAGTAATTAAATGTCCTTCTCTCTATAGTCTTCCTGGAGGTTTCAAACCTCCACTGGTCTGGACAGTATTTAGGTCTGTTCCAAACATTTCATTCTGATTTTGTCTTTCTTTTATTTGATGCTGTATCCACCATCTTCTGTCCCCTGTTTCTTTATTGGTTAGTCCTTCTAAGACGGAAAATGTTTTTCTCTTACTTTCTGCTTAAAGAGCCTGGAGCACATTTCAAGCCAAAATGCTATTATTCTATCTAGAACTTAAGTTACAGAATTGTGGTGTAAAGAATTTTTTTATGAGAATATTGAAATTGTCACTTTAACATAATTTATCTTTCTGTGTTTTTCTTGAGAAGTCCAATGAGGTTATGATCACTATAGTTTTGTATGTAATCACTCATCTTATTTCTTTTTGTTTCTCTATGCAATAGAATGTGCCATTTCCTTATCTCAGTGTTCAGCAATATTTCCATCCTATGCCTTGGTTTGGACCTTTTTTCCCCCCTAGTTTATACTCTTCATGAGCAATCTCAATCACATATAAAATTTCTTAACCAAAACAAAATAAAAATTTTTCTCTTTTCTATTCATTGCTGTGTCAAACATGTATTTATTAATTAAATATCAAACCTACTGTCTTTTCTCTATTTTTCCTATTGATAGCATCCTGTTCTTGTTTCACGTATGTTATAACCTCTCTTGCTTCACATAATTTTAATAACAATGTTTTGAAGTAAATATTTGTCATGTTTTCCTGCCTTTTAAAAAAGTATTTAAGACTTTCTTCAAATAACATATACTCTAGTATGCTCTAATGGGGTTTATTGATATTCAATTGCTGTTCACTAAAAAGACTGTTCTGCATAAAAATACTAATGTACAGCTGATGGTTTTCACTGTAGGATGCTCAGGTTGGGAAGTAGTCCTTTCATTGGGAATGAAAACAGAGATTGGGGCTGGTGATGATTTTCTGTAATTGTATAAGAGATAACTTTTGATGGATTGAGAGGAGCTTTAAAATACAGACAAAACTATAAGGAAAGAGCTCACAAGAAACCATAAGTGATACCTACATTTTGTTTATATTCTGTGGCTTTCATGTAAGAATTCAGAGCATAAGGTGTTATTAAAATCCAGCATGATTGTTAGGAGAAATATAGTTCTTTCTTGAGTATAATTATCAAGTATCTACCAGGTGCTAAACACTGTTGAAGTGTGTAAATACAGTAATGCATAGACAGTGCCCCTGATTTCAGGCCAACTCTCATATCATGTTGTCAGCAATAACATGAAACTTTCCATCTAAAATATGGTGAGAGAGGCTTTTTATTTCGTCCAAGAACTTTTACCTATGTTAGTCTTTGCTTCTAGGGTGATTTCCTTCAGATAAAGGAAACTCTTGGCAAAAAGAAATGAATGTAGTCAGGATTTAATTAATCATATTCAGGTGGTCTGATCATTATCCTCCAATGTTTTTTTGGAAGGGCACATTAATCACATCTAGTGGTTATAAAACCCACTCTCACCTCACACATGCCCAGTTAAGTAAAGAGATTTCTACTAGGCCAGATGTCTCATTTCCTCATTTAATAGACACTACAGTGTGGCAGGTCTTACTGGGGTAGCTAAAGTCAAGACAAGGTTTACAAGCAGTTGCTAGTTCTAATGTCCTTTTATTGCATAGTTTTCTTCTTACAAGATTTAAAGAACTCAACCCATGTAATTATTGCCACACACTACTGCTAAAAGTCAAGCAAACTTCATTTTAAAATTGCTAAGATCATCCTAGAAATAGCTGCCATGGCACGGTCATTGGCAACTATACAATCATTTTCAATGACTGGGTACTGTTACAAAATTTGTCAACTGGGCACTTAATTTCCTTAATTGTAGCATATGAAGGGAACTTAAAGTGATATTCTGCACTTAAGTTTCAAACTTATGGTATTTTATGCTAAATTGAATATTTTTCTTTTCGAATAATATTGACATAACCACAATGAGACTTGGCATTTGATTTTATTATAGCTACATATAAAGTTGGATTTTCCAGTATGCTAATTTAGAACTAAATTGACAGGAATACTTGAGAGCTGTGCTTTACAGAGTAACACACTGGCAAACAACACAATTGTCTCAGGAGAGATTAACCTTGTAAGCAAGTTATGCAGGTGATTCAAATCCAGTTAATCTCACAGAAAAAAAATGTTAATTGCATTGGCAAAGACATTGCCTGTGATCACGCCACAGTTATATAATTAGGGATAAGCCCATTCAGAAGAACTCTAACCTAATTGATAAACAGTCAGCAAACAGCCCTGGAGATTTCTCTCCTAATTTTCAATATGTGGTCAGACATAAGGTGATACTGTGGAAAAAAACAGTGACCTGGTTTTTGACATGCCTTAAAATTAAGCAGCCTTGTTGTTCAATAGATCAAGATTTTCATACATATTTATTTTAATTATACAGAGGCTCATAGGTACAACCTCTTTGGACATTAATAGGTACTGAGTGGGATCACTTATCAACTAACTAGATTGTTCTGTTTTCGTCTTACTTTCTGAAATTTCCAATTTTTCATTTATATGCAGATGACTTTGACACGAAAGAGGCAAACAAAGATACTTCTTTGTAATTTTTACAACCTGTGTCTGAAAGGGGCTTAGTTTTGCTTTGGCTCTAGCCTCTACAAATTCAAGCCTTCTAAAAATATATTTTCCACTTTCTTTGTAATACTCATTTTTTTGTCCAAGTTTCATATTTCCTGGAGAACAGCCTAATTAAGGAATTTGGCAAGAAATTCTTTTAAAAGATTTCTTGGATTTGAGATATATATATGTATTACCATATATGTATATATAATATATTAGTCCAACTTACAGTTTTTAACATACTGTTTTTTGTAGGCAGTGATGAAAATTGCAAAGCAGAAAGTGAGTTTACACTTAGCATAAGACAATAGGAATACTGAATAATATAGTTTAGAGATATTTACAGGAGTGGGTGCTATGGATATTCTAATGCTTTAAAACTTGTGAGCAAACACCAGTGTATCAGTAAATTTTCTTTCCTTTTTTGGAAGGCATAACCAAAGATAGTCTGGTGTAAAACCCACTTTGATGTATCATGTGAATCCAAGTGACTTTTATCTCAGTTATCTTGGCATCCATCTTTTTTCCTATTAACTGAATTACACTTTCTACTATGAGCCAATATCAGGTTTCCCAAAACTCCTGTACCAGCTACTCTCCCATGGTTATCCAGTTGCTAAGCAACTGGACTCTGCTTGAGGGCAAAAGGAAAGACAGAAGGATCATCCTGAAGTTCTCCATCCTGCTGCGCTCATCAGAACAGCAGCAGGGGATCCTGCATCTTGCTTCTTCTTGAAATTATAAGTCAGGTGCTTCCCTTACAACACAATGGGACTTAGAACATGTATGATAACCAAAAACTCCTTAAGGGTCCTGTCCCTGTCTCCTGAAGGAAGAGACTCTGTAGCTTTGTGCCACATCTGATGTAAAATTTGCTCCTCGGATTGATTGTGTGTTGTGGAATTGTGCTTGATACATGTTAAATGAAGCACACAAAATCTTTGCCTGAAAAAAAACAAGGTATTTTAGTAGAACTGGACTCATGTGCTGTCTTGCTATTTATTTTATACTCAGCACAATGTCATCATGACATTGATAATAGACAGCTTTACTCTTCCAATGACTTAGTAGATTTTCAATGTATAAATTTGCCATGATTCATTCAAAAAGTTTCCCAGCCCCCAAACCAGAAGCCTGGCTTAGACTAATATGTGGTAGATGAATGAGTGGTTAAGAAAAGACTTATCTAGCTTGTCCATTCTATGCCAGATATAATACAGTATTTCTGTTAACCCCAGATGGGGCAGCAGGGGTCTTCTCCTAAATTATTTTTCAATCTCAATCAACAGTGGTAGAGGTTTAGTCCTCTTTAGCAAATTTTAAATAAATGCAACTAATAGCTCCATTGGATGGGAGCAAAAAAGTTAATCCCAATTCTTAGGCTGATGATACATTTGTACTATTAATATTTGCAACACCCATAAGTATACATCAATCCTCTTGCCTATTTGCTTCCAGTAGCAGAAATAGTTCAATATCAAATATGCTATCCTTAAAATAGTGGGAACACAGTATCCCGAGTTCAAAAGGATAACACTAAATCATTATATGCAAAATGTACTTTTGTTCTCTGGTCAACGGGACATATTTTGCTATCTAAAATTGTTCAGATAATAATTTTGGCTATCTAAAATATTTAGGGATATTCAACTTTTCTCTAGTTTTATGGGTTATTTGTAAATTCAGCTCTAAAAAAAGTTTTCATTATAAATTCTTGTTTGTCTTGTTTTATGGCTTAGAATTGTGGGTTCTCAGAAGACAGATAGTGGAATATATTCAGGTGTTTATTTTGAAGAAAATATTGACTCCTATAGTCTAATTCTCCATGAAAGATACAATTGTGCTCCTTCTGAATGCCAGTGATAGTTGATTTGTCTTTCAACAAAATATTTCCCTTGTAACTTACATATTTGTTTTATAGATAGGATATTGATTTATTTGACAAACAAACACACTTCTATTCTATACTCCTAACATGTTATTTTGTATGATTTATTTTCTCCAAAGTTTTCCTGCTAAGTATGTTTTAGTTGCTGGGCCACCACATTCATAATTCTATACCAGGAGTTTGAACCTAGAGTCCTCAGTGGCTGAACATGGCCAGATGGCCAGATAAATTGTGTTAATTCCCTATGGATCTCATCTTTCTTTTCCTTGACTTAGTTTTCTACTTCAATAAGTAGAAATATTGGACTTGCCTATGATTTGGAGATGTGCTAATTTTTAAGTGTTAATTTTTTAAATATCAGACCATTTTCAAAAAATGAAGAAAATGGACAAGAAACAGAATTGTTTAAGGATGCATGAATTTTTTTTGTTTGTTTTGTATGGGTTTTTTGGGGATGGTAAGATTCTTATGATTAGGAATTTATTTTCCACTTGTTTTATGTAGACTAGTGTTAAAATGCATTTTTTCAGTCCCAGGTATATATTAACTAACTAACTAACTAAGCAAAGGCAGAAACACTAAAGCAGAATATTGAATAAATAAGGAACACAAAAGTTAAATAAAGTAAATATATATATGTATATATATATATATATATATATATGATTTAGGAGAACACTGGAGAAGACCTTTGAAAATTATGTATGACAGTTTGCAATAATTAAAAATGACAATATTTACATTAAAGAAAAAAAATCGGGCAGACAACTTTCAATGCATGCAGTTAAAATATTCACATATGTATTAAGTCCTTGTAAAGTAAAAGCTTAAGTGGAAAAATTTATATAAGACTCACATGCAAGAGCATAAGATTTTTTCCTGAAAGCATTCTTTAATTTATTTGTTTATTTTCATGTGGTGCTGAGGATCAAACCCAGTGCCTCACACATGCTAGGCAAGAGCTCTACCACTGAGCTGCAGCTTGAAGCATTCTTGATGGAGTATTAATATCTTTTTGATGTTTTTCATCAATCTCAACTTATAGTTTTCTTACTGTAAGCCATGATAATAGATTACATTAATAATTTTTAAACTCACCTTCTTTCTATAAAATTTGGTTAATATTAATATTTTGATAGGAATCACCTGATATGGCCCACAAATTCAACAACAACAAAAAATCAGTTTAATATTTTTTCCACAAGTTTGCATGGTCCTATATAGAAACCATAGTTATTCCTGTGCTTAAAAGTAATTCATTTTATTCAGTTATATTCAATTTGTAAGGCCTTATCAGACATAGCTGAGATACAGCATTCCATACCTATGTACAAAAGAAAACCATATGTTCCCTTTGCTTTTTTCATAATTACTTAAGTCATTCACATTTCATCTCACTTTATCTCTCTCTCTTTTTTTTTCCAAGAACGACCCACATTTCTCAGGAGGCCAATTAACCAGGTGGTGTTGGAAGAAGAGGCTGTAGAATTTCGCTGTCAGGTCCAGGGAGATCCTCAACCAACGGTGAGGTGGAAAAAGGATGATGCAGACTTGCCAAGAGGAAGGTAAAACCATTATGTGGACGGAAAATTGTTAGGCGATCAGAGAATAATTAGAAAAGAAAAAGACTTTCCCAATTTCCCACCAGATTTTCTTGCATTTTGGATATTTCCACACATGTGGTATTTATATAGGCAAGCTACATATTTGATGTGTGCATATTAAAGTTCTTTAGGCTTTTGATATCACTCTCAATAAAAATCCACATTAGTATCTGATCCTTAACTCCATCTTTTATCCCAGGTAATAAGAATCCTAAGGTGTTTTCTTTCTCAGGACCCCTGTAGGTTTTCCATTCTCTTCTTTCTGAATCCTTGACCATCCATCCCACTTGTTCCTTCAACAATGGCCCTCCTTCCATGATGTTTCATCCACTCTTTGAAATCCACTCTGTGTTTCTTTAATGCCCAAAGAATCTCTACCAAAGCTGAGTATGGCCAACTTTAAGGGCCACAACACCAAAGAGGCAATAAGTAAAGGATACCACTTTCCACACAGAGGATTTCTCCTCAGGGATCTCCTGTCACTTTTTCCATTGCCATTGTTTCAAGGACTCATTCTCTCCATTTTTTTCCCCATTCTTCTTTCATCACACCCTAAATAAAATGCAATCTCTCTCAATTATCTGTATTATAAAATAAAGTCTATTATCTTTTATAAAAATAATTTGAACTTTTGTTTTATAATTTTTTTAAAAAAATCTATGCCCTGGAAAAAATCATTTAAGATAGGCTAGAAAAAAAGTCATTCAAGTGTTTGCATTTTTTTTCCCTATGCAATTGAGCAATTCTAGTTCTAAAATTTATTATGCTTTCCCTCTTTCTGCACATGCTGTAACTCTAAGCATCACACCTACCACAATAATTGTCTCCAAAAAAATTTGCATTCCATTTTCTGTCATTTTCTCTTTAAAAAATTAGGTTTCATTCAACTGGTTAAAATTAAACGTGCATCTGCCGAAGTCATATGCCCTTATGTGCATTCTCCAGCACTGCTGTAGATACACGGCTAAATTTGTGCTTTTATTTCAAGTTTGAACTTTGTATGCCCCTAGGTATATGTTACTGTACATTCCAGTCATATCATCGACAACATTAACCTCAAATGGACCAAATGTTTTAAACAGTGAGAGTTTCTTTCAGGTCTGTAGGTGTTGAGAGCCACAGCAGAGTCGGGATTGCGCCTGGCATTTTGCCAGAAGGAGTGGTTGAGAGGTGACACCAAGGATTTTTTTTTTTTATAAAAAAATCTCTCCTGGCAAAATGCCAGGCGCCATCCTGACTTGACTGTGGCTCTCAACATGTAGGTATAAAGCACTTACTTTAAACTAATTCAGTAATTTTTTTCTGTCTAAATAGAAGCTGTGTTTTTCTGGTTTGTTTATTTATTTGTTTGTTTGTTTATCTTTGCCACTTTTCTTCCAGACATCTACCTTTAAAGAATTGTCATTAACAGTGGGTGTTAGTGAATATGAGGCTCCTTGTGCCTTCCCAGTGAAGATAGCTAAAAAGCAAGGCGAATTTATAGAAACTGAGTTGTTATTATCTACTCTTTATAGATTGTCAAAAATTTTCTTCAAATATAAGAGAACATATGCATAATTTTTAAATGTTAATGTAAGTTTAAGAGATTAATTATAGGATGAAATTTATCCTAGTATAGACAATGGTTAATTTTTAATTTCTGAGAGGATACAGCATTTTCCATATTAAAAATAACTTAAAATTTTGGAATACTTTTGGAATTATGGGAACATGACAATGTTAATAGAGAGAGTTCCCATACACAGTGTATGCAGTTTCCCTTATTGCTGACGTTCATGAAACATTTGTCATATCTAATTAACAAAGGTCTATATGCAATAATTTAATAAAGAAGGAATGTTACTTGGGTTTTATAGGTTTTTCTTTAATGCCCTTTTCTCACTCCAGAACTCAATCCAGGGATTTATTTGGGTGGGTATCATAAAGTATTGCATTTAGTGTTCATGTTCGCCAGGTCTTCTTTAGTCTGTGACATGGTCTTAGTATTTTTTTTTTTTTGTACTTTTATGACCTTGGGAAACTTGAAGAGAGGTATAGATCAAATACACGATAGTGTTTTTTCCAAAACCTGTATTACCCAATGTTTTCATATGATTTGACTGGGTTTATCAGTTTTTTGAAAAAAAAAAAAAAGCTACAGTGCTGAGATGTCCTTCTTATTGCATTGTATCAAGGGTACATGCTATCAAAGGCTTCTCGTCTACAGGTCATTTGTGACAGGGCAATGGGGTAGCTTACAGACAGGCTAAAGAAAGTGCCTGGAGACAGCATGGGACACCTGTGGTTTATTGGAAAAGCTTACAAGAGATCCGTGATTGATCTAACAAGAATTCAGCAGCAACAGGCCGAGAGATATCACCTCTGTCCCTCAAGGTGCTTTGCAAATCAATTCCTACTGATGGTGTTTTGTCCAGTGACAGCCTGCTGGGCAAATGACATGAATCCTTTCCACGGTGCCCTCAATTCCATGCCACTCTCCACTCAGAGAGAAGTTCTGTACTTAGAAACTGTGATGTCATCAGCATTAGCTTGCTTATTTACCTTGTAAAAGCCGGTAGTAACTGTACTGGTGTAAAGGGAAGAAAATAACGTTCTTTCTTTTTTTGATTTTGTTTTGTTTGAAGTTCCCCTGGGGATTCTTTTTATTCAAATTCTTATTTTATTGATTCTTCTTATACATAACAATAGAATTAATTTTGATAAAATTATAAAAGCATAGCCTATAACTCATCTAATTAGTACACCATTTTGTGGTGGGTACAATGGTGGGGCTCACTTAGGTATTTTCTATGTGTTCATAGGAAAATTATGTTAGATTTATTCTACTAACTTTCCGCAGATACCACTAAATTGCCTTAGTTCCCAGTGAACATAAGAAAAAGCCAGTGTCCTTCCAGATACATGTATTGGAACTCTCAGGCCCAGGCTTGCTTTCATTGTTGCCATAACTTGGCTAGATTTTGGAGAACAGAGAGGAAACATTCAGGGACATGATATTCTATGACCTTCACTTTGGGTTTGATAGAAAAGAAAGTTACAGTTGATCTGGTCAGTTTTTAAACATTACACAAGGTGGAGTTGAGGAAAGATTCAAAAGTAGATACTTAGAAGAGTATATTGTATCTTAAGTGTGTCTGTTTTTGAATGAAGGGAAAATAAAACCTGAGCCTAGTTAGATTTTCCCCAATTGACTAGAGGAGCTAATTCGTAAACCTTTTGTTGCTACACTATTCTCCAAATCTTGTCAAAAGTATTTACTTCAGATTACAGGTACTGCACATTGACTATACTATAGCATACAAGCTACATTTTCAGACTCTGTGGTATCAGGCACCCCAAAGTCAAGGTTAAATTTTGAGAAATCTGATCTCCACAACCTTCCCTTGAAACATTTTCATAGTCTCAGTCTCCATTCATCCATACCTGGCATTTTACTACTGCAATATTCACATGACCGGCTAAATATTTTTAAAGTATTAGGCAAATGGAATTGCTGGATCAGCTTTAAATTGTTATGTTACAAAGGCCTTAGAGTGGAATCAACGCAATACAGAAATTGAGGTCAGTATTTTTATCATGATAGAAGCCATTCACTTTTTCTGCAATTCCCCATCTTTAAATGATATTTCAAAGAAGATTATTCATTCTTGGATTGGTGTGTATTAGCATAAGCTTCTCTTATGTATAATGAGGGGGAAGAGACCTCTTTACTCAGAGAAGAATAACAGTAATGACTTTTAGCCCACCATGAACTAAATCAACAACATTGATTCTATTACATTATTTAGGTCTCAGACAAGGAAGATGGCCATTGTTCTTGGATAAGCAATTGGTGTGGAGGATGACATTTCTTTGGCTTGCCATTTAATGAAATTTGAATAAGGTTTGTTTGGTGGTTCATGCTTAACACTTTGATAGTAAAGCTCTTTAGGGCATCTGCATAGCCTATAATTACTATGTAAGTAACAAGTGACTAGTTTTCTTTTGAAGACAAGAACAGCCTTTCAATTCAGGTTTAAGTTTATGAAATGCTGTGATAGCTATTTAAAGCTTCAACACTGAAGAAGATATCTGCACCAGCATTTCAGGAACCAGAGATGAATTCAGGGAGTATTTTTTTCTTTGTGGTGAAAATATTTTTTAAGTAGTACTATTATATACTTTTCTTTTATTTAGCCTTAAACTCCTTGCCTTTCTCATTAACTACCTTTAATAAAATTACAACATATTCTTGATGAGATTGTTAAAAACATTTCTGACTATAGTGTTTGGGGTAAGCAGGAAATATAGCAAGTTCAACAATAGCTGTTGTATGCAACTTGGGCGAAGTTATTTATATATTCAAAGAACAAAGGGATGAAATAGGAAAGAGGCTTTATATCATGTATGCTATTATCAGAATAGTAAATCCTTGCAGTAATTTATGAAGATATTACAATTACACGGTTGGATATTTCAGGAAGAAAAAAAAGTGACTGGATTTTTATAACCATGCTAATTGTCAATAAATTTTTTTTGGGGGGGGGTCTTGATAAATATGTGTTAATATAAACCAAAACTATTTCATTTTATACACCGATATGAAAATAAAAAAGTGAGTTGGGGGAACAATGGGAGAGAAGCACTTACAGTTTATGGTGATTACACTTTTTAAAAGCACAGTTATTTTAAAGCACAGTTAACATAGAAGATGGACTTTCAGATTTACTTTTACTTATTAATGGCCTCATGCATTTAAAATGCCCATTGCCAGAGAGTAAACATGAGTCATTTAAGTATCATAAAGGTATATTTTTGATTCATTGTTTTTCATTTTAGGTTAAGGACATTAGGCAGTATGGGAAGGTATTTACATGTGGAGTTATTAAACAAAATTACATAACCTGAGGCCATTTCTTCCTTGGGTACTACATCTACCTTTCTTAGGCAACCCTGGACTGTTACTTACTCAGGCTCTTTTG